AGTTTTGTTATTTTCTCAAGCATCGTTACAATTTTAAGCATGATGTGATCAACAAAAGACTGAAATTTTTGGAAAAATTTGACGAATTTCATTGAGCTACAATTAACTATTCTAATAGTCTTTTGACTTTGCTGAAAAATGACATCCTAGCAGATTGTGTTACACATGATATATTCTTTACCCTTGTGTGTAATGTAACTCAACCAGCTAGCTCTGCACTAAGGAAGCAACCACACTTATTGCAAGTGGCTTTCCAAACTTCGGTAGGGGGATCGAGGTTCGAAATTGAACCCACTGTTTGTGATTCTGTTCATATAGTAACTCCTCCTGTTACTTGTGTTGAAACTGTATGTTTATAAGCAGTCATATCGGGTCACGGGAAAACGAACGTGTTCTTCAAAATAATCCCAACTTATTTTGATACTTTCCAAGTTGTTGTAGCAACAGTCGTTTATCTGCATTTTGGCATCTTTTGAAACTTGAGTAAGTGTACTGACCGTTGTTTTATTTACTGCTTTTCGTTGAAAACCAGTTACTTTAATGTTACGTTTTTTACCACTGACCAACCTGTATGCAGCCTAAAGGCATATAATATTCTGTATATATTTATTTCTTACTCGTTTCTTGTACGAAAGTATTTCTAAAAATTCAGCGAAATTTAGGGGGGAATATGGGTGATAATCAAATTTATGCAAATTAGTTAAATTGGATCAAATGACGGTATGCATTCACACATAACTTTGACCTTAGCCAGTCGCATTCAGTTGAATGCATTTTTTGCATTTCACCCCTAATTATAACCAGTTAGTTCGTTCACTGACCTGCACAGCATTCTAAGTTCCACAATGTTATTGTTAATTTTCGTTTCGAAGTGGGATTCCGCAGAGCCATTTGTAATGTGACTCAGGAACCACCTGCCGTAAGCAATGGGCTTCACTTCTTGTGTAAGGGCTTAAGATATTACCTGGCTACTCAAACCCCGGTTGGTGGAGCAGGGTTTGAAAGTCGGGTTTGTGGACCGATTGACCTCAGCTACAGCGATTATTTTGTTTCAGATGACCAAGACCGAGTTAATTAGGATGGAATATCAGCTGGTAACCTTTCCACTGAAATCCAGAGGCTTAAACTGGGTTTATTTTTCCGTACGTACTCTGAGTAGGCGGGGAATTGCTGCAGTGATTATTTGACAAATGTGCATTCACAGTGGGAAAATATGAAATGTGTTTCAGTCGAATATATAATTTTATCTCAAATTCACCTATGATTTACTACATAAAATATTTTGAAGTTAAAATTTATTATTTAATTTTACAATTTTTGTACTGCACCAAGTTAAATGCATCTTGTGTTGTCAATCAATTCACGTGACTTTGTGGAGAGGCGATGACTTTTACTAACCTTCTTGTATGTGTTGCCGACTGTCATCACAGCCGTCCCTACATTAGACCTAAAATCAATCCATTCTTTCTCAGGACGAGCACTTCTGTCCCCTTCAGATAAGTGCTTAGCCAGCTCCGCCCTAAATACGTATTTGGCATCATAATCTTCCAATCGGGTATGGACAAATTTCGCTGTCACGTGTTTCTTGTGGCCAGCAAGGGACAGACATACACGAACATGTATTAGCGCGTGACTGGAAACCGAAATGTCGCCCTTATGAGGGCGGAAATCCTTCTCCCATCTTCTCCAACGACGACTTTTAGTAATGTGTTCATCGGTTTGAAGTCTGTGGAGGCCACGTGAGACATTGTCTGCTTTTGTTCCTAACGTTAGTTGCGATCAGAAACAAGTGACTGTCGGAACAGAACCCCGACAGAGGATCATTGTTGTCGATTTACTGACACTGTATTCCGAGAATGGCTACTAGATGCCTCTCTCATTGGCTAAGCTTCCTTATTTGAGTGTCAAAGTCATTTGCCATTAAGACTATATCCGAACGCTTTCCTTACCGTAGCGAAATTGACAGCTTCCAATGGAATTCATCCTTTGCATCATCCAAACTACAGAAGATGGGTGCGTAGGTGTAAACTTCCAATTGGCAACACCTAATCCGACGATCCCTCCTGGTTCTTACAGATCTACTCGTCTGAACAGCATATGGACGGCTGTTGACCGGTATCCAGTGAAGGAGTGCACTTTCTGCTCTACACCTCAATGCTATGCCTATGCCGGTGAGTCCACGAGAGCCAGTCATTGGGTCCCCGAATGCTCTTAAGGTAGGTTTTGAGGACTCCCCATTACGACCATGTGAGGTCAATTTAATAACCACATTTGACCGTGTTCATATCTCCCAGAGACATACTACACATCTGTGGTTCGGATTTGTTATGTACGTGCTGGTTGGTAAAACCTTAGTTGCTTCTGACTTCACAGCGACTGGTTCGCCTCTACTAGGTTACCTCTTCGGCTTGGACCATGCGGATGATGTCGGCCTATTCAGTGAAGATGCTCGCAAAGTTTGAATTCTTCCGAAATTATTGAACAGTATCTTGAGTATTTTTCACACTTCGGATGTGTCAAAACGACTTGATGCCTCGAAGATGGTCTGTACAAACTTCTATTATGAAGATGGGGGTGAACTGACAGGTGTGGGGCACTCCTCTTACTTGGGGAATCGGGCCAACAAGGATGGGCAGGCTATTGAAGAAGCTTCAGCTGGGGTCCAAAAACCCGGCCATCGACTTGCAAGCATGTAATTTCCTGTACCGGTATCATTTTTGAGCACCTATCAATGGACGAGCATACCGTGCAACAGTTGGCTGTGAGACGTGACTCCGGGAAAAAGATGGTGCAAAACGTCCACGGGTTTTTGATACCACGTACCTTCATGGTATTGCTGGCGTATCGCAGGGCGACGGAGTGGGTGACATAGGGGCTTGGCGAGGAGTGCCAGGCAGGGCAAGCCAGTCGGTCGATGAGGCTGTGAACCATCACTGAAAGGTGCCTTGGACGTTTGTTGCGCATGCCCAGCCACCGCCTACCTCGATGTGGAATGTCAGTAGAGGTGGGATTCGACTGGAAGAAGTGTGAACATTTTCGGTAACCTCTACTTTTCGACCATTTCTGCTCCTATGCGATTCTGTCTACTATAATATAACACTGTTTTGACCATTTGCATTTTGCGTATTGTGAAATGTGGCAGCTTGAGACAATGTACTGTTGTGCAGGGTCTTGTGTTGACTTGTCTGTACGGAGTGGTAACCGAGTGATGGCTTGTTCTCCTTCTGTGGCGTATCGCCTTTTGATTAAGTGACTTACTCATGAGGATGAAATTATTTACTAGCTGACTGTCCTCGGTTTACAACTATCCCGGAAACCTAGGGGAACTACTGGCCAAGAAGAGTGGCAAACTGTATTCCTTGACACGGAGGTGGGAGTTGACTTTTGACCACGTAGTTTGTAAGCAAGGTTAGCGTTTTGCAATTATATCATATTTCACCTGGTGTAAAAGGAGGGAGTGGGTTGGTTGACAGAGGCAGTGACGTCCTGTACTTTATGAGGTCCCTTTGCCACGGTAGAGCTGGTCTTGATTAACTCACGGTACGCTACGGGGGCTTGGGTACTGTTTTATGTCTGTGTATCAACCTCCATCTTATCGGAGGGAGTTTAATGAAGACTGGACATCAGAGGTAAAACAGACGAACAGCATCGAAATCCTCCGTTTAAGTAATGACTTCTGCAACGTTTTGCATGAATTTGCCTAAGATCCTTGCCTTTTCTGTTGCGATTCTCTGAAATGAACTTGACAAGCGATTTAGCAAGGGTGTAGCCAAATCTAAAATTAACTAGCTATTCAAATTGTCCCGCATGGAACAATTCATCAAAGGCCTAGTTAAAGTAAGTAAACTCGAAATTTCGAATGACACCTTTGTAGCTATTTAATGATCAAGTCTGTCTACCATCAGGTTCTGTATATTTCGTGTGACAAAGATCCGCGTGTCGAAAGAGTGCAGATGTAATATAGCAGACCTAAACAGCTTGTTTACCTGGTCAGAGAAGTGGCTGACGCCTATCAATGCAGGTAAGTGTGTGAGCATGCAGTTGGGGCACACACAAAGCAACACATACGATATTGGTGGGACTCCTCTACCATCAGTACTGACCCACAATGAGCTAGGAGTCACAGTGGGTTACAACTTAAAAACCACGACACACTGTCGATTGGTAGCGGCTCAGAGTTTCAGGACTCTCTGAGCATTATGTAGAACGTTTACGAAAGTAAGTGGTGACATGTTCACCGTCCTATACACATTCCTAGCGAGGCCCAAATTAGAAAACTGTACACGGATGCCAAATCCTTGTCTCATATGTGACTCAAACCTTCTGGAAAGAGTTCAGAGGACAGTGACTAGTATGATCCCTGCGACGGTTGACCTAACCTATGAAGACCAGCTTAAGGAGCCGAACCTCTTAACTTTGTCCCATCGCAGACGGAGGGGAGATCAAATCATGCCATATATGATTCTAAGAAAGGGCTTCGGACCTGACCTATCTTCTCTTTTCCTTCCCATTAAGTTGGAACACCCCAGAGGACGTAGTAAAAAACTACAAAAGCAAAGAACGAACATAGTCTCAGTAGAGTAGTGGTCCTCGCGTCGAGTAATAAAGACCTGGAACCGGCTAGCAGAAGAAATGGTGTCCGCATCATCAACTGCATCGTTCAAGAAGGGATTGGACAGGGGATTGAACTGGAAAAGGATTAATATAGGCTATCAGCCAACTGTCCTCAAACAACAAATCTGAATCTGAAAAATCCGAATTATTAGCAAACTGTGCTGGTAACGTTCTGCTCTACGTTTACGACTGAGGATCGGATGTAACAAGTTACGTTGGACAGTGTTTTACTTCTTTCGGCCATGTGAATACATTTCTGCATACGGCGACATTTGTACTTTTCAGGCGGCTGGTTTGGTCTGACTATGAGTTTAAGTGGTACGAATCAGAGAGTTCCGTGTGATGAGGAAGTAGGATTCCTTCCATCCTCAAAGGACGGTCATGATATGAATGAAAGTAAAAAAGAATTGAAAGATACATATTGTCTTCTAACACGAGAAGACCTGATGCAACTCGATTCTAAGGAACCTTTTTGGTTGCGTCTGCGATGGGGTTTATTCATCCTGTTTTGGATAGTTTGGATTGGACTTCTGTTGGCCGCAATTCTTATCATAGTTTTTACTCCTAAATGTCCACCGAGACCGGACCTTCCATTCTGGAGATCAACCATTGGCTACTGGGTAAATCCGTTTGCATTTAAGGATTCGTCTGGAAACAAGGTCGGTGATCTGAGGGGTAAGATATGCTTAAGTTATTCTCAATTTTAAGGTTTGGTTGATGGGCTTGATTATATAAAGGGGACAATTGGCGCTGGATTCATCGTTCTGACATCTATCTTTTCTGGCGAATATACAAATGAACAGAAAATATTAGGTCTCGTGAATGATTTCTATAAACTTGATGATGCACTCGGTGATATGGAAGATTTCAAGTACCTCGTAAAGTCGTGTCACAAGAAGGGTATCTATGTTGTCCTTACCATGGACTTCAATTCTGTCTCCACAAAACACTTATGGACTGAAGATACTTCTTTACTTGAACCTTATCCGAAAGATAAAAAAGTATGCATCTGTTTATACTTGGATATGCGGTAACAGTTTTCTCGTTTAGGTGGTGATGGTAAAACAATTATAAATGGAGTTGATTATTATTCTGTCTTCGGCCCAAATCTTGTAGATCTTAACCTCAGGGAATCAGGTGCACTTAGTCGCGTTATTGTAAGTCTTACATTTGTATATTTCTTCCTAAATTACTGACAGGATGTGGCAAAGTTTTGGCTGAACGAAGGGATCGATGGTATTGTTTTAGATAATGCTGCTTTCTACGTTGAGAATTCTGCAGCACCTAATGATTCACTTTCAGTCGGGGTGAGTTCTGAATGCTTCTTATATTTTCTAGTCCGAATCAAACAACTGGTTCAAAAGCTACCCGGCGTCTCAGATATTTACTGACGAATCACTGGGGTTTGTTCAGAAAATGAGGAAACTTATTGATGAAGTGTCACAGTCCAGTGGAAAACCGAAGTGAGTTATTTTATAATGTCAAATTTCTCTCAGATTACTAGCAGTGGATGCTGGCAACACTGGATATGGTGTTGGAGAGAAGGATGACAGTGCAATTAAATTTTTGGGCACTAAAGAAATCCCTGGTGCTCACGTAGTTGTTAGTCGCCAGTTTGTGAAACAACGTGGATGGTATGTTGTAGTGCTACTTTAAACCGATATTGTAGGAAAGCTAGTGTTAATGCGACACTGAGTGAGAGTAACATTTTTACGTACAGCATGTTGGATACGAATGCGAGATCTTCTTTGGCTCTGATAGCGGCTTCGACTAGTGACCCGAGACAATCTGACATAGTGGCCTTGGCATCAACCCTTCTTCTTCCAGGTAAAATCACTTTCTCATTGCATGCGTAAATGCAACTGTAAATGATCTGATTAGGTTGAAAACCTAGCAAGGTGAAATTGTGACGATGAGTAAACTATGACACTGGAAATCCCTCACATTTCACCTTTTTCTTTGGAGCTGTGATAAGTATATCCCTACTAGATGTCTTAGATTTTCGTAAAAATCAAGGAGGTAAATGTACTGCGTAGCAACCGGTTTTGTTCTGCCATACTGCTTTAGCATGATTTGTGGAGATGAACATGAAAATACAGATGCCTAACTCTTCACTGACTCCTATTTGGGTCGTTTTTAGCGCAGCAAGTCTATGGATTCTTAACTCCATCTCAGATGTACTTTGTGTGAAAACAGTAATAGGAAATCCAGTTAATTTCATAAGATGATGTTGAAAAACGAAAAAGTTAGCCAGGGTGGTACTTATCAAGCAGTGGCTATTTTTGCGAAATATTACGTTTGGATTGATATTAGTACATTTAAAGTTATATGCGTGAGTTATTCACATGTCCATACCTAAAAGAAGTTCAAGTATGCAGACACAAAATCATACAATTTTCAGTAACAAACGGTTATCAAAATCAAAGAGTATTGCTTTAGGAAACTGATTTACGAGAACATTACTATTGTGATAGTCCTAGTTTGTCGACACATCTTAAGAACAGGAAATCTTTATACTGATGTGTGTTTTGGAAATACCAGTGCTAGGTTAATTTTCAGCGTAAACTACCTGCTCTACAAAATGTTAAGTTAAACCTTTAGATAAGATGTTGTCATCTTCAGAATGACTTGCATGCATATTCTCCGTAATTAAAGGAATATAAAACAGTGAGCAGTACGAGATTACAGTCTGCTGAAAATAAGCTTAATCAAGAATGGTGAAATTTGAAAATACTTGTTAATCTCATTGCTTGTGAAAATTCCAGCTTTCTAGACCAAAGCTTCTTTTGTCCCTATTTTTTACACACATTGGTGTTTGGTAGTAATCAGTGAAATTCGACATATCGATTGAGATAAAGATAATTTGTGGATGTATCTGCACCAATGAGATCGATTCTGAGCTATATTGCTCACGGTCTCTATCAATTTTGCTTTTCACGCAAACTCAAACTAATAGGTCTGTTTTCCCGCACAATTCCCAGATAAACAGTCAGAGACTTTATTGGATGATTCCTTGGTTCAGTTTATTCATCTTCGACTCTTTTTTCAGTCTCGACCTACTTGGAGTGAAATTACGTGACAAGGTAGATGGCAACCAGCAGTGCACAACACGTTACCTATCTACCTGAATCAGTGAAGGTTTAGAACCATACCAACTGAATTACCTCTATCAGAAATCTTCTCCCATTCCTTCCTTTCCACCACTTATCTTCGAATTAAGTGTTTGCAAATTTGCCTGCTTTTTCTGGAGTTATCACCTTGTCATCTGGTTTATCAAACTAACTTCATATTTTCCACATGAGCTCGACTGATTTCTGGTTTAGTTTATTTGCAGTTTGTTAAGGATTGAATTTCTCCTGATATTTTCCTGGTTACCAGTGTTTTTCATGAGAATATGTTGTCAGCTTCCAGCCTTTATCTTTTTGGTTTGCACTCTCCACTCACCTTTTCTTTAATATCCCCGTAAATACTACATACTAGATCCATGTATTCTTTCTCCGAAACATTTGTTGCTCTGAGTGTATCGCGTAACTAGCATACTAGGTTTCCTGGTAATTTTAAGGTGTAAGTCTATCGTGAAAGTACAAATACAAAACAACGATACACTGTTTCCTGTTGTAACCATGGCTAGGACTGACTGTCAAACAGTCACATCTTTCGTCGCTTTATTGCATTTAATTCTGTATTTTACCTGAAATCGTGTATCTTCCACAGTACCCTAAGAGAATTTTCTTGTAATATAAGAAATTTTATGTTATTCATCTGTAACAGTTTTGGCGTTGTGCAAACCAGTAATCAGTAATCTTATTAGTGAGTGATCAGCAGTTTCACACAATACTCTCAAAGTTTCTTTCATTTTCTAATAACTTTTTAGGGACTACTCTACTCTATTATGGCACAGAGTTAAATGTGGCACCAAGTAATGCAAATTTTTCCTTTGACTTTTACCCGTTTGATACGAAAACTATATTGGATGGCTCATCTGAAACAAGTATACTGTCTCAATTGCCAATGCCATGGGATCAGTCTGGAATAGGTTTTTCAGCCGCACTTTTTAATTCGACTGCATTTACAAATTACATTAAAAACTTCAATATTGTTGAGACAGTTGAGGTATGTTATGCTTTTCCATTTATTGTTTACTTTTCCTCCACATGTATCTGCCAGTGAAATCTATGTAACTTAACCAATGTTTGTGTAGATTTGCTATCAAATCGTTGAAAATAACAAGTAAAGTGATGCTAGTATCTTTATTTCTCACGAAGAGTTCCTAAGAGATTCATGGAGTTAACGTTGGTTCATTTTTGCTGTGCACTCGCAGCAAGACTTGTCATATGCTACTGAAGAATCAACACAGAACAGTCACTGTCAGGCAACCAAATAATAAAGTGGCAGATATCCGTGTTAGCAATCTGATCATATGCTAGTTCCATAAATTGCTGAAATACTTCCGTCTTTACTTCTTCAGCCTTGTAAGTCATTGCAAATATCTGGCAGTCACTGCATATCAAATGGAGGTTTCTTTAAAGGTGAAGCAAACAGTCATGTGCTAATATTTTACTTAATGGCATTATCATGATAGCAAAATTCAAAAGTATTGTGCTGAGGTTTCATTGAAAATGTTAGGTATTCAACCAATCATATAATTATCACCTTGACGGTGATATGACATCCCAAAGTTTAGTATTTTCATTGGGTTAAAACTTATTTAAATTACTTTGTTTTCTGACTGAATGTCCTTTTATTTAGGATGTCATTCTCTTATAGAAGCTAACTGATCTCGTTATTTCTAGGTTGTCATTTTCGTTCTATTCCTAGTATTTTTAGATTGAAAAACTTGATTTTCGAAAATAACTTATACATCAGGTGTCTGTAGTGTGCACAGGAATACGAAACCACACTGATCATAGGCAATTTGTAGATCTGCCAAGGTTAATCAATTTCATTTCATATCTGCTTTGCGGTTGTGCATTCACTGCATAGTTGTAGTTGAGATCTTGACAATACTTTTAGCATGCGATAAGTTTGCGAGGCGTTATGAAAACCCTTCTGCGGCTTGTTTGTGGTTCCGATGTACTACCAGTCATAGTAATCCTTGGTTTTTTTTCTTTCGGTCTTGTGAATTAACATTACTAAAGAAAACCTTAACGTTAAGTCATAGAATGGATGAATTAGTTCTAAAGAACAGTAGATGTTTAAGTGGATCTTCAGAGTCTACGGAATACTAGGTGACTGATCATATGCTTAACAAGGGCTTCTTACGACGTATTAAAACGTTCTTCTGCCCAGAGTAATTCTTTGTTCCACAACTACTTTGTTGAGAAACATATTTGGATTTCCAAGGTCAAGTACTGAGTTACTGATAGCTATACCTTACTTCTATTTTATGTCTGCACTGAGAAATTACAGAGATCTATCCATCAAGGAGAGACAGGGAGTTTAAGAAAGGAGGTGGAGTGGCAGTTTTTATAAGTGACCATCTTAAAAGTGAACGAGCAACTGAAACTCTACTTTTAGGGCTCCCAGACTCCATCTGGTGTCACTTTACGGTTGAACACAGCAAGTACCTGGTAGGAAGCGTCTACAGAACTCCTATTAGCAACGTGGAACATAGCCAGCAACTGCTGCAAGTAATGTCCGGAGCGACGTCCATGGAATATGACCAGGTCATTATAGCCGGTGACTTAAGTTCTCCATCTCTCAATCTTGGGCGGGACAGGGAAACCTCAAGCCGAAGGTTTGACCGAAACCTACTCAATAATATCCAGAAGGCTGAACTGCACGAGAATATTTACGATGACACTTCCTGGGGGTCGGGCGGAAAACCGTCCAAACTGGACTACCAGCGATCACCTACTAGCTGAAAACGTTTAAGCTCAAATCCTCCTTGGCGGCAGCGATCACGGCGTGGTAGTGTTTGACTTGGTGTTCAACGAACAACTGTTATGGAAGGGATCTCGCCCTTGTCTTTGCTACAGCAAGGCAAAGTATGTGGTGATGAACCAATATCTGTCAACAGCACCATGGCCTCAGGAGTGGAGTAACCTTTCGGTTGATCAACATTGGGAACTAGTTGGAGATATCATCAAGAGGGCTATCTCTGAAAACTTCCCAGTAATCACGGCAATACCGAGGAAGCGAACCTCATGGCTGAAGTGAGGCGCTGAACGCCTTTTGAAAGCCAAGAGGAAAGCATGACATAAGTGGGGGACCTTCAGAAAAGAGTCTGACCACACTGCGTATATAGCCCTAAAAAATCGATACAACATCAAAGTGAGGGGAGACAGGAGGTCGTTTCAGATGAACCTTGCTTTGAAGCTCGAGGTGAATCCCAAGAACCTATATCGGGTTATGGCAGGCAGAAAATCCACCAGCCAAAGGGCTTGTATCCTGAAAGGCCTGAATGGAGAGAACCTCTCCGGACCAGAGGTCGCCGAAGTCTTTAGTGCCGCCTTCGACACGCAACTGAACACGTCTCAATCTGACCAAAACTGCCAACTGCCCGAGCAGCATTCAGCACCACCAAATGCAGTAGAATCGCGTGGTATAAAGGTAACTCCTTCTAACGTCTTCGAAAAGCTATCAAAGCCTCCGCGTAAGAGAAATCACCAAGATGCAGTGACATCCTGCCGAATGTGTTGAAACAATGAGTAGGTGCCTTGTGCAGTCTGCTGCGTAACCTGTTTCAACACCCCCTAAACAATCACATGCTTCCACGAGAGTGGGGACGTGCTATTCTATCCCTCATCTTCAATGAAGAGACAGGCAGAGCGCGAAACGCTATCGACCCATAGCTCTTCTACCAGTGGCGTCAAAAGTAATGGAGAGCCTGGTAGACGACCATGTCAGAGAGTACTTGGAAAAGAGGGGAGCACTAAATGATGCTCAAAATAGTTTGAGAGAGGGTAGATGCTGCGCCTCAAACATTCTGGCGGCCTGTGATAGGTGGACGGGATGTTAAGACCTCCAAATTCCTGTTCACGTCATTTTCCTGGATTTCCCTAAGGCCCTTGACACAGTCTCGCACGCCATTCTTATTCACAAGATATCAAGGTTGGGCATCAAAGGTCAAGTGCTCTCCTGGCTACAGGATTATTAAGACGGCAGACAATTCTGCACAAAAGCCATCAGAGTTTGTTTGACTTGGAGGACATCATCATCTGGTGTATCACAAGGAGCTATTCTGGGGCTGCTGCTATTCCTTCTTTTTATGAACGACCTCCCACTGAATCTCAGCTCCCTAATTCTCCTTTACGCTGATGTTAAGTTATGGAGAGCTGTGACGTCGGAAATAGAGTCAAGTGCACTGCAAAGTGATCTCAGATTACTTGCAGAGTGGGTGGATATTAATGGACTAGCATTTAATCTGGATAAGTGCCGAGACATGTTTCTCCGCACCCTAGACTCTCAGAAGGTACCCTATTCCCTCTGTGAAATACAACTTTCCCACACCACCATGGAGAAAGACCTAGGACTAATACTGACTGACAAGCTAGACACTAGCTCCAATTATCCAGGAGACGCCTCCAGAGCCTATACAGTACTGCACTTCATGCGCAGACAACTAGGTGGCCTGACCCCAGAACTCTTTAAAGCTGTACAAGACCTACATAAGATCTCATTTAGAGGTCCACAACGTCTTTGCACCACCATATCTGAAAAGAGATGTGAACCTCCTAGAGAAAGTCCAGAAGAGAGCTACAAAGGGTGTCATGGGAATGAAGCGAAAACTATGGGGACAGGCTGAAAGATCTGGGGCTCTACTCTCTAAGCTACCGTAGATTGCATGGTGACTTGATAACGGCTTACAAAATACTAAATAACCCAAGTCATCCGAACAGTGGAATCCTACCGAACGGCCACTGTGGCGATCCTCGTGGTAACCCGAGGAGAATCGCCCATCTAAGGGCGAAATTCCGTGTGCGCTCACACTTCTCCCTGCGAGTTTGCGGCTACTGGAACGCCTTGCCTACTGAGATTGTTACTGCGCAGTCTGTTGACAGCTCCAAAAAGAGGTTGGACAGTTACTCAGCGACGCGCGGCTTGCGCTCATCCAACTGGGATGTGGACTAGGCTGACATGACCTACTAACTCAGTACTGTCAGCCCATTATTGAATACGTTGTAACACCACCATCACTGCGAACTTGGTTCAACCTTATGCTTCCCTATAGACGTCCCCTGCAGTTACCTTCTCCTGCTAATAGAATTACTATCTCTATTCCCATAAGCCGTCCTATAATGTTATTTGGTCCTTCTCTTCCTACTGATTTTACGTTCTCACACTTTAATAAAAGCTGTCCCCATCGCCTCTCTCCCATGAATCGACCGATGTTTCTTCCGTGCCGTTTTCTTTTTCCTAACCCTCTTTTTCTATTGTTTATTTTTCCCCTTGATTTCTCTAGACATATTTTCCATCTCTTTTTTACAACCAGCCCGACCAATTGTCTGCTGACATGACACTTGAGGAACCCATCTGCACCACAGTCCTTGGGGAAAAAACAACACATGCTCTCTACAAAGTTAACCAACACCCAACTTCCCGTCGGCTAACCAGAGCTACAGCAGTCGAGTGGGTAGACATACTGCATCGGAATCCACCAAAGACCTGGAATCGTTCCGCAAAACCTAGAAGCGAACGTGAAGAAATCAATTGGTTTACACTAGTTCGTAAAAAGATATTGGATATTAGAAGTCTGTTAGAAGTTTGTTTAAATAAGCGAACGAAGAAAAAAACTCACTCAGCCACCTTGTATACATTCGTGCAGCAGGCAGTGAGCCACATCTATTGTGTGAGGGCTAGTGATACTACCTAGCTGCCCAAACCCCGTTAGGTGGAGCGGGGTTCGAACCCATTGGCCACTAATTCATAGTCATCTCTGTAAACCACTGAGCAACAGCTCCACTTTTAGAATTGGCAGTCACGACTAGATACTCTCAATCGTTGAACAGATGAAAATATTATTGAATTAAAACCGCTACATATTCCTTATCACTTGCCGGCATCCCTCATTGAAAAAAGGACAAAGTATGGTTGCATAAAGAACTACATCACTTCGTATATCTAATCTACAACTCACTACAGCACAGCGAAAATCAGTACTTGCGTAAACCGACAAGGATGTGATATAAACGGAAAGAAGTTGAATAAGACATTGGAAATTATTATTAATTATTATTATTGAACCAAATGTTTATTCTGACCATCTAAAGGACTACATCCAGAAGGGCTGAACTTAGATATGCATCTCAGACCTAAAGTTTCTGCGTATACTGGTTATGGAAAGTATTTATCTTTGATTAGCGTATATCACCACTGGATACATCAGTCATTTTTTCAAACTAGTAAGATAAAGTTTGTTTATATGTTGATGGAGGTGTGGTCCTTGACTTCAGGATTCTGTTTGTAACCCACGCTTCATGGCTTAAAATCTCACTTCATCTGCCAACCTATGCGTTCGGATATTTTCATTAACCCTCACAAAGTATATGTAACTTACAGAAGCCTGCATGTAATTGCTGGATTACAGTGAGCTTTTGTTGTCTACCAAGCTCAACTTAGAACACCGATTGTCACTTGGCTAAGCGTGGAGTGGCAGAATCACTATCATGCTACTTCTAAATAGAATTTTACTCGTAATGTAGTGGAACGAGATTTTTATGGTCGAAAGATCTAGTTCTTGCTAACTTCCACCACTTGTTATTCAGATCACTCTACATTGGGTGGCCTATTTCATGTCAGATATCAGCTGAAATTGCGGTTAACATTTTTGTCAATTTCATCTTAACGTGTCTTTTTCCTTTGGTTTTATCATACTGACTTACGGTGTCTATCATAATACCGAGTTTATGAAATCCGAAACTCTGATCGTTAGTGATATTTATTGAACTAATTTCTAAAGTGTGATGTATTCACCTCACATATCCATACAACGAGTTCTTTCATTTCAATATATTTTAGTCTGCAACAGCAAGTGGTCGTGGAGTTATACCCTTCAGCCTCGTTCAGAGCCTTGTAACTATTCGTAAAAACGAAAGCATCTTGTGGGGTGGTTTCAACTTACTGAAACCTACTTCTATAGTAAGTCGATAAGCATGATTTTGATTTCTTTTATTTTAAACTCTGACTTTTCTTTCTTCAAACTGCGAGTAATACCGTTTTTTAGGAGTGGTTCTATAGACTAATTGCTTAGACATTCGTCTATCTTTTATCAAATGCGAGTTTTAGTACCGATATTTTATGTATTTTTTAAACCTCACATCTTAAAGTTGTGCTAACAGAACTAAATAAATAGGAAAACAACATTGTAATATATCATCAGGTTAGTAGTTATTTCTTCTTCGATTGCTTGCTTCAGCAGCCTTGATCCTCCTGCCTTGTAAAGCAGCTATAGCATCATGAATTATGAATTGATGATTTACATGTGGTGATATTGATTCATTACTGTTATTTAACCTGTATTACTTTCCGACTAATTTACTTGTCATTATGGTAAAGAAAATGACAAATTTCGCACTAGAATAATTGCATCGAAGATCTTTCGGCACAAGTAGAACACATAAGCAGAATCTGTCTTGTCTTTAAGTGGTATCATATCCAGTCCATCGTGAAAAATCAGTGCATATATTGTAATTCTGCAGTTGTTTGTGTCTTAGTGGATGTCATTAAAATGAACGCATTAGATAAATGGTAGCGTTTTACTTTTATTTTATTAGTGATTAAGAAACAGGAACAAATAAGAACAAAATTGTAAATGGTCAACCATTGAAATATTAGAAGCATAGCTTTCCATATTTCCCAAATTTTTCATTTGCTTACTTTTGTTTTTACAATAACATTCAGTAATTTGAACTTTTCGTAACACTAAGTATTATTTTGTGTACCATCGTTGTTATTATAAACAGTTAGGTTTTCTTTGAAACATTTATTCATCGCAGAAATACTATTAATCCTCCATTTTAGACCGAAAATTTAAAGTTCCAAATATTTGAACGCAAAGCTGTAGGCTTCCCAGCATTCATAATTGTCTTACGTAATGAACACGATGTTGCCAGTGGAACCTTCAGCTTTTCTTCTGTTTGTTCCAGCATAGTTCCAAGAATAATATACCCGCCAAATGACAAGTTTACTATTGGTGAGGCAGTTACCAGTGAACGCGTTTACCTGCATTCCGAAGGGCAACCACTAGTGTATGTTTTTGAGTGTGCGTAGAATACCTATGCAGTTTATAAGTGATTCGTAGTATTTCGATTGCTGGCTGTTAGTTTTAGAGCTGATTGAACGCAAACTATTATGTTGAACGCTGCACTCTTTTCATAAGCTTACATATATTCTCAACTAAGTAATAAATACATTTATTTTCAAGTAGAGTTTCAATTTTTATCTAAGAAGAAAGTGAAAAAACACTACCATCTGAAGTTGACAGTGTCCTTGGTGTTTCGAGTTATCCATGAACTTATCCGAAATTTAGCGATACAGATAAACGTACAGTCTTCCACGAAAATATTTCAGTCCAAGTGGTGACAATACAGATAGAAAGAGTAACCAGAAAGAATGATTCAAAAAAGCAAAATATATGGCACGAAGAGGAGAAACAAATAGTATTTAATGAAAATTTCAAAATTGATAAAGTGTGTACACATTTACACCACTGTGTTTGGCTCTGAGCCATGTCACCGAGATTCTTCAGCATTTCCGGAGGACTGCAGTAATGTAGCTTGCCTGACTCAAACCAACAGTTAGACTGAATGGAATAGTCTTGGTCTATCCATCTTTAGCTTTATTCCCAACTAATCCTTACTAACTTAACATTCAGGATTAAAGTAGGCTATAGATTATCATCAAGAACAAGATATTCAGCGAAGAGACTCTTTTCAACGAATTTATTTTCAAGCTGTACAATCGTATATATATGGTATTTGGAAAAAATTATATCCTGTGAGGAAAACTAAACACTATATGGTGATGACAATAATAATAGAGCGGGTGATGACATAGGCATTTATGATTATAATAACAATTGAAGTGCGAATGATAACAAATAGATTATGTAATATATGGAATGGTACATAGAGAGTATATAACTCAGAAGGGGGTGAAAAAATTGTTGAAAATGGTAAATCAATTAAGTATTATGTAATGGCATTAGACAAATTGGACAAGATGAAGTCAATGTTTTCTAAAAGGATTAAGACAATTAAGTGAAACAACACCGGAAACTAGTTGAAGTGAAGGCGATTATAATAACAATAATAGTGATAAAGGAAGGATACAAAGGTTAAATTAACAAAGTGGGAGGGGGAGCTAATGGGGTGGGAAAATGTTATGGCCATGATAAAGACAGTGACTGCACATACTTCTTTTGTACACACAGATCAGGTCTTAGTTCATGAATAGCTAAAGCCTCCGCTGTTTTAAGGAGTTGAAAACGAAGAGAACGTGGGAGGTTTGGGCGAATTCGATAAATAATTTCAAAGTCATCGTCTGGATTTGTTGTGTGATGGAAGTCAATCAAATGTTCTAGAATCGAACTTCTAACAGACTTTCTTTCACCTTTATAAAACCAAGCAGGAACATGTTCTCGTATACGTGTAGAAAGCATTCTCTGGCTACGGCCGATGTACCTTGCTCCACAAGAGCAGGTGAACTGGTAGATGCACATAGAGGCGGCCAAACGAGGAAGCTTGTCTTTAACGCAGGTGGAGAATAGGTTGCGGCTGGTAAAAGTCAACTGGAGTCTTGCTGCGAAGAAAGTCCTATTGATTGATCTGGTAAGACGATTCTTCAGTACATCCGATGCTAGGTCTCCTTTAAACTCTAGGCTCATAAACAATCTTTTCTTTGAGACCGAGTGGATGACTGGTTTAGTGTTTCTTTCCCGCATATTTTTATCAATAAAACGGCTAGGGTAACCGTTTTCGACAAGTATGCTTTTTAAGAAAGCTCTTCCTCGATACAATCGTCACTACAGATACTTCTTATTCGATAGCAAAGAGAGTGAATAAGATTTCTTTTTCTGTTGATGGGCACCCAACTATAAAAATTAGTTAGTTGTCCGTTCCACGTTGGTTTTCTGTAGATGGATCTTTTAAGGTATCCATTCTGACGTCGGGTGAGAAGCACATCAAGAAAAGGAATAGTTGATTCTGATTCCTTCTCTATAGTAAACTTGAGGGCTTGATGACATTCATTGAATGAACGAAGCACGTCGTCGAGGTCTACATTTTTGTCGCAAATAACAAACGTGTCGTCCATATATCTTCTATAAAAGTCAAAGCTATCAATAGTTTGACGAAGTTGTGAATTTTCCAGTTTCGACATGAAGAAATCTGCTAGCAGTGGTCCCAATGGTGACCCCATCGCAATTCCATCTTTCTGTCTATAGATTTCATTATTGAAACTGAATTGGACATTAAATGTGCACCTCAACAAAAGCTCTTTCAAGCAGCTCGTTGGTAGTCCTACGTCTAAATTATGTGCATCAATATAGTCACATACATAACAGACAGTTTCGGTGAGTGGCACACTCGTGAACAATGAAGTGACGTCTAATGAAAACATCATCTTGTTTAGAGCATTAAAATCCTTAATACCCTCAACAAACTGAAATGTATCACGGATAGAAAAACTCGATACTTGCCTTCTAACAGGTTCCAGAATTTCAGCTAACCATTGAGCAGTTCGGTGATAGGGAGAACCAGCCATATCGAGGATCGGACGAAGAGGTAATCCCGCTTTATGTATCTTCGGTAGTCCATATAGACGTGGGATTATAGAGCCAACCGGTCGGATACGTTCATATAAATCAGGATCAATTATTGATTTATCCCTCATGTTTTTTAAGACATTTGTGAGTTGTGTTTCAATTATATGTGTCTTATTGGGCTCACCTTCGGGTTTACTAAACTTAGTGGGATCAGAGAGGATTACGGAAAGTTTATCAGTATACTCCTGACGATTCATTAGGACAATGCCTCCTCCCTTATCAGGACGGCTTATGATAATATCCCTGTTATCTTTGATTAGTTTTAGCTGTTGTATATGGTCCTTGGTTAATAAAGAGCTAGAACTGATTTTGGAGTTGATAAATTGGTGACAGCAATCTAGAACAGTGGACTTGAAATGCTGGAATTCTTGCGGCGATGCAGGCGTAAGACCGACAATCTGGCTGATTAAATTTTCAAATTGTACTTGGGTATGTAATCTGTTAACCTTGGATGCACTGCTGCAAAACTTTGAGCCCAGCGATAGGGCTTGCATTTGAATTGTCGAAAGATTAACGTGAGAGTGGTTAAATACATACTTTTCTGGATTATTCGGAAATTTACTTTCCATTTCAACTGGCTTCAGACCATCGGAGTGTTTAAGATTGGCCGACTGAGACTGTTTTTCTACGACTGTAATGACATACTCCTCGAACTGTTTGCGTTCATCAGTAGATAACTCATAAAGGGCATGATTTCTCGTGGATATATTTCGTTTTAACTCAACAATACGAGAGCTAATGGCATCAATACGATTAAGTGCATGACGCTTCAGTGTTTTAGAATTGGGCCGGATATGGTTTCTCCTAAGTGCTTTCCAGAACAGTTTCGGATATTCATTTGTATCAATACAACTTTCGAGGAAAGTAATCTCAGTTTTCACCAAAGCAAGTTTGACAGAATAGCGCAGAAACCCATTAAGTTCCTTCATCGTCATTGGGTCCTTGCATCTTTTTAATAATTTAATAATTCCCATTGTAAAATTAAGAACAAGATATTCAGCGAAGGTGCCATTAGCTCTCGCATTGTTGAGTTAAAACGAAATATATCCACGAGAAATCATGCCCTTTATGAGTTATCTACTGATGAACGCAAACGGTTCGAGGAGTATGTCATTACAGTCGTAGAAAAACAGTCTCAGTCGGCCAATCTTAAACACTCCGATGGTCTGAAGCCAGTGGAAATGGAAAGTAAATTTCCGAATAATCCAGAAAAGTATGTATTTAACCACTCTCACGTTAATCTTTCGACAATTCAAATGCAAGCCCTATCGCTGGGCTCAAAGTTTTGCAGCAGTGCATCCAAGGTTAACAGATTACATACCCAAGTACAATTTGAAAATTTAATCAGCCAGATTGTCGGTCTTACGCCTGCATCGCCGCAAGAATTCCAGCATTTCAAGTCCACTGTTCTAGATTGCTGTCACCAATTTACCAACTCCAAAATCAGTTCTAGCTCTTTATTAACCAAGGACCATATACAACAGCTAAAACTAATCAAAGATAACAGGGATATTATCATAAGCCGTCCTGATAAGGGAGGAGGCATTGTCCTAATGAATCGTCAGGAGTATACTGATAAACTTTCCGTAATCCTCTCTGATCCCACTAAGTTTAGTAAACCCGAAGGTGAGCCCAATAAGACACATATAATTGAAACACAACTCACAAATGTCTTAAAAAGCACAAGGGATAAATCAATAATTGATCCTGATTTATATGAACGTATCCGACCGGTTGGCTCTATAATCCCACGTCTATATGGACTACCGAAGATACATAAAGCGGGATTACCTCTTCGTCCGATCCTCGATATGGCTGGTTCTCCCTATCACCGAACTGCTCAATGGTTAGCTGAAATTCTGGAACCTGTTAGAAGGCAAGTATCGAGTTTTTCTATCCGTGATACATTTCAGTTTGTTGAGGGTATTAAGGATTTTAATGCTCTAAACAAGATGATGTTTTCATTAGACGTCACTTCATTGTTCACGAGTGTGCCACTCACCGAAACTGTCTGTTATGTATGTGACTATATTGATGCACATAATTTAGACGTAGGACTACCAACGAGCTGCTTGAAAGAGCTTTTGTTGAGGTGCACATTTAATGTCCAATTCAGTTTCAATAATGAAATCTATAGACAGAAAGATGGAATTGCGATGGGGTCACCATTGGGACCACTGCTAGCAGATTTCTTCATGTCGAAACTAGAAAATTCACAACTTCGTCAAACTATTGATAGCTTTGACTTTTATAGAAGATATATGGACGACACGTTTGTTATTTGCGACAAAAATGTAGACCTCGACGACGTGCTTCGTTCATTCAATGAATGTCATCAAGCCCTCAAGTTTACTATAGAGAAGGAATCAGAATCAACTATTCCTTTTCTTGATGTGCTTCTCACCCGACGTCAGAATGGATACCTTAAAAGATCCATCTACAGAAA